CACCCGCCGGCCTCGCCGCCCCGAGGGGCCCGCGCGCTCCGCGATGTGGCACGGGGCTCCCCGCCGCCGCGCCCGTCTGTGAGGTGGCGCCCATTGTGCGGAGCCCGCCCGCCCCGCCCCCGGGACGCGGAGCGGGGTCCCTATTACTTCAGGAACTAGTCTATTGTTAGAAAGCAGAATGAACAAAATTTGAGGTTTGGGTTTTTTTTTTTTGTTTTTCACTAGCGTTTGAAATAACGAATGCCAAATTTCCGTCAAGAAACAAGAGCTCATCCCTTGTAATCTAGTAGAAACCCCCAAACCAGCACACTGAAGACTTCCCCTTCCAACGCCTCTAAAAGAAGCAGCCTCCTCCTCTAACCCTTACCTCTGAAAACCAGTTTCACAGGACGGGGACCCTAAGTCTGTGTTACTCGGCACCAGCCTCCCCTGTGGTCCTCAGAAAACTAGCCTGGTGTGGTCCAGCGCCTTCCCTCTCCATTTTATTGGCATCGGTTGCCTGTCTGCAATTTGACCTACTTATATTTTACACTTACAAAAGGTGTCTGTCTTGTTTCTTTTTGTTGACTGCTTTGTGTGTTTCCTGCTCTCCATCCAATTCTTTGTGTGTCTCCTGTTCCGTATCAGTTGGCAACTGAAGATTAAGCTTGGCTTTTTTCGTAGGTTTAGTATTCTTATTGTCCCTAATCGACACCTTCTTTAAAGCATTGAAGCGTTTTACTATTAATAATGCTGCTACAGCAGCTGCAGCAAGTGTGGCTATCGCTCCTGCTGTTACGATGAATAGGAAGCCCATTTTCAAGAGCAACACTGAGGGAGCGGGATTGTGCACTATAGCTTCAACTCCGGTGTGTCCGCGTTGGAGAATCACGCCTCCCTCCCGTTCCATGAGCGCACAGGCGCCGTGGAACCCGCCGCTGGTCCCGCCCTCGGAGGTGCCAGGCTAGGCTTCCCGGCAGGCACCGCGTAAGCAGCGCCCAGGTTGGGTACTGCCACCCGGGATAGAATGGGGCCCCCACCCAGGGAGGCCAGTGGCTCCCACCCTCTTCTCTTCGGACGCCTCTTTCAGACATCCTTTTGGACCCACCATCTTTCTAGATTTATTCTATAATATTCTGAAACCCTACTATGGCAATTAATTTATCTGGGTCCATGCTGTCTGTAAAATTTGACGGTGTAAGAATGATTTTTTTTTTTCTGTTAAAAATCACTTAAAATATAAGAGTAAAAATAAATTGAGGCCAGCAGCAAGGTGGGGTTATCGCATTCCTTACAATAACTGGGAGGAAACATAGACTTAGGTTATAATCCCAGGCCCGCCAAACATACCTGAAGGACCTTTGGCAAGTTACTTTATCCAAGCCCTAGATTCAATCTGTTAAAATGAAGACAAATATACTTACTGGTCTGTTTTTATGTTTAAATAATGTAAACACAGCATCAGTGCCTGGCATCAAAAGGTCAATAAATGCTACTTATGCTTAGCAGCTGTTACAATACTGGAATGATACTGGTGTATGTATGTTGATTAGGTATCCAGCAACCCTGCTGGACTCTTAAATAATTCTAGTATTTATAGAGTTTTTTGGATTTTCTGTGTATAGAACCACATGGCCTGGAAAGTAAGTGTTTTCATTTTTAGTTCTATTTCTTGCTTTTTTTTCTCAATTATGTTACGTTAAGCTGTCCAGTAAAATGTTATAGTGACGAGCATCCCTGTCTTGTCCTTAACATTAGTTTTATGTAAGAAAGTTAACAAAATTATCTTTCCCTACTTTTCTAAGATTTTCTCTCAAGTGTATAATGAAACTTAACAAATGTTCATCATCTAATGAAATGATCATTTTGTCCTCCCTAATCTGTTAATGCAGTTAATGTTAATAGATTTTTCTAATATCCTTGTATCACTGGGATAGACCAGCTAGGTCATGATGGTTCTGAAAAAAAATTTTTTTTGATACACTAGATTTGACTTGTGATTATTTTATGTAGAATATTTGCATTATATTCATAAGTGAGACTAGCCTTTAATTTGCCTTTCTTTACTCTTTTTTTGGTATCAAGATTATGCACTAGCCTCACAGAAGCAGCCATGGGGTTTCCTCTCTTTTCTTTGATAAAGTATTGATAACACAAGCCTGTAAACCATTTTGGTCTGCAGGTTATGTGTGGATTTATGATCAGGGATTACATTTCTTTAGTGATTATAATGTTCTCTATTATTGTTGAAATGAATACTGGTTATTTATGATTTTATTGAAAACTCGTCATTTCATCTAGGTTATCCCTTGTTGGCAAAAGTTGATTATTCATTTGATTAAAAAAAACTCTTCTGTAGCTATATGTCCATCTTTTTCATTTTTGAAAATATAGTTTATTTTAGTCTCTTCTTTTTCATGGTTCTTATTTTTTGTTGTTGTTGTTGAGACAGAGCCTCAAGCTATCCACCTGGGTAGAGTGCTGTGGCATCATAGCTCACAGCAACTCCTGGGCTCAAGCGAGTCTCCTGCCTCCGCCTCCCAAGTAGCTGGGACCACACAGCGCCTGGCTATTTTTTGGTTGCAACCGTCATTGTTGTTTTGGCAGGCCCCAGCTGCCACCTTAGGTGTATGTGGCTGGCACTTTAGCCACTTGAGCCACAGGTGCTGAGCCTCATAGTTCTTATTATTATTGGTTTGCTAAAAGAACCAGCTTTTGGTTTTCTTAACTTCTTTATTAAGTCTGTCTTATTTCATCTGCTATTATCTCCTTTTATATTACAATGTTTATTATTTTTCTAATCTCCTGAGTTGAACACCTAGATCATTAATTTTTAATCTTTTTTCTAATACATACAGTTGAAGGCATAGATTTCCTTTTAGATACCATTTAGCTATATTCCAACATGAGTTTTCAAAGACTTGAGATAGGAGAGTAGGTAACAGGGATAAAAAATATCAGCTTTTTACTGATAAAAATATTAAGAGAAACTACTTAGGTGCCTATTGGCTTGTGGTTATTGCAAAATTGACTCGCCTACCTAATCAGAAAAATATCCACTAATGCTTCCCTGAGGCCTTCCCCTATAAAACTTGTATCAAGGAGGTAGAGGCTCCAAAGAGGAACGATTATTCCTAAATTCTCCAGTTACTTTTCCTACTAAAATTTTCCTTTTACAGCCATTATTTATCTAGGTTTACCAACATGTTTACCAACTCTGCGTTCAGTTTTCTTTCAGTATATTCAGCAAAGGTCTCTGAATTGTAAACTATTTTTTTGTCTGAAAATCTTCATTTTGCTTTTTTTTCTTTTTGAGACAGAGGCTCACTCTGTTGCTCTGAGTAGAGTGCTGTATTGTCAGGCTCAGGTGATCGTTTTGTCTCAGCCTCCAGAATAGCTGGGACTACAGGCACTCATCACACTGCCGGGGTAGTTTTTCTACTTTTAGTAGGGATAGGGTCTATTGCTTAGGCTGGTCTCCATCTCCTAAGCTCAGCTGATTCACCTGCTGGCCTCCCAGAGTGCTAAGATTACAGGTGTAAGCCACAGCACCCACCTTTACCTAACTTTTGACTGATAATTTAGCAGAGTGTAGAATTTTTGATTGGTAGTATTTTCCCATATCTTTTGGAATCCATTATTGATAAGCCTAAATATTGTTTTTAAAGTCTTGAGTTTGTCTTGTTTTTTGATATTTTGCAATTTCCTTGTGATGTGTTTAATTGTAGATTTACTTATATTTATTCATTCAGAGCTTTTTGAGGTTCTGGAAAAGTATCAAAGTATTATTCTTTTGTTGTCTACTAGCTCTTCTTTTTAGTTTCTTCTGGATCTCCTATTAAAATATGTGCGGTTTTGTCATTCAAACCTCTTTGATTCTAAGTCCCTCTTTTATTTTGTCATGTCTTTAATTTTACTCAACTTACCATTTCTAGATGTTCTTTTTTGAACTTGCTCTTTCATACTATGCTATTTTTATCTTTCTTCCTTTTAAAAGAATCTATTAATCATTTTAAACAATCTATTTTTTTTTTTTACTTTTTATTTATTTCTTTTTTGAAAGAGTCTTACTTGGTCACCTTTGGTAGAGTACGATGGCGTTTTAGCTCACATCAACCTCAAACTCTCAGGTCCAAGTGATTCTCTTGCCTCAGCCTCCCAAGTAGCTGAGCCTACAGGAGCCTGCCACAACACCTAGCTATTTTTTAGAGACAGGATCTTGCTCTGGCTCAGGCTGGTCTTGAACCTGTGAGCTCAGACAATCCACCCGCCTCAGCCTCCCAAGTGCTGGGAATACAGGCATGAGCCACTGTGCCCAGCTCATTCTAACTTT